CCCGAAGCGGAAAGTTCTTTGATTGTTCGGTTGTCTGCTGCCATGTCTTCTTCACCCGCTGTTGTCTTGGGTTCCTCTTCTTCAAATTCAGAAATGGACTCGGAGCTTTCGCTTGATTCGCTAGGTTCTGGGTTCTTTCTTTTTCGTCTCAATTCTCGCTCGAAATCTGCGTCAAAGACCGAGATAGGTTCACGAATCGGATGAGAACTCCTAGTCATAAACTAGTACCTAAAACAAGAAATAAAACAAGATCAAGAATCTGGAATAAAATAAAAGAAAATAAAACAATCCAAGAGATTAGCAAAGTTGCTAATCCCCGGCAACGGCGCCAAAATTTGATGTGAGAATTACTTGACACTCAAATTAAACCCTCGTTTGACAATTGTAGTAGAATGGATAAGTGAGGGATCGTTCTAGACCGGGGATTAGGAGGGCTTGCTAAAACCTTCTAAATTGACTTAAAAACATAAAAACTCAATATAAAACACTATTTAATGCTCGAAGAAAGCAAAACTAAAAATAAGAAAGATTAAGACTAAGACTTCAACGAAATAGGGGGGAATTGGATTTGGACGAATTTAAACTAAAATGGATACTTGGAAACAAAACAAATTGTAAATATGGATAGATTGCAAACAAGTGTTGTGAAATTAGATGGTTGGTGAATTAGCTAGAGGTTCTTTCTCCACACATGATATTTATGCATATGAATCAATTTCCAGTTATTCCTTCATTGAATTATGAACGACAATGCCCCAAATTAACCGTGACATCACTAGTTAACCCTCAGATTTTCCTTATATTATTGGATTGGATGGCATCATTCGACAACCCAAAACATTCTCAAAAGTTCCCTACATGTCATCATAATAGAGATACAATCGAAGATCATTAAGAATAATGAAAACCATAAGCATTGACAAAGCACTTGCAACTATGACATCATGTTACTCATGCTAAGAATTTAAACTTAACGCGATCGTGACAAGCGACCTTCACTACTTTCAAGTATAAGTTAGTAACGATTATGTGAAACCTTCTTAAACTTTAGCCACATATTCATGCATGTAATTAAGTGTCGACCCTCAATCAACAAACACAAATAAGTTAATCATCAAATAGTTAAGCCAATTGCATTCACGAATCAAGAGTTCATAACTGGAATTCATCAATTCATATTACATAAACAATCATGGTATTGAAATCACCCCTAGCTAAGGGGGGTTTAGTTCCTCATAACTTTGAAATCAAAGAAACACCTAAACATTCCAACAACTCAAACTCGAATTGTATGAACGTTTAGGCACTCTTATCTTCCATTCCTCATATTACAAAACAAAGAGAATTGAATTTACAACATTGAAATCAAAGAAACGCGTAAACATTCCAACAACTCAAACATGAATTGTATGAACGTTTAGGCCCTCTTATCTTCCTCTTTATTGTGGCACAAGGACTAAGGGATGTTGTTGGTGTGTTGAATGGATTGGGGGATTATGGAAATGGAAGAAATGGAGGAGAGATGGAAGGGAAACTCACGGCCAATAGGGGGAAGAATGGATGATTTTGAAGAGTGTTGTGTTGTGAATGAGATGAGATGCATGAATGAATGAATGCAAGGGTATTTATAGGAGTAGTGGAGGGAACATATGGCTATTTGTTTAAGCATTTGTGTGGAGGAATGATGGAAAAACAGCTAGGACACATGTGAAAACTGAAATTGCACAAGGGAAGCAAAGAGAACCCACGGTAAAGGAGTTTTTGGTGCATGTGTTGGCTGTTTTGTGTGTTGGTTAAAGCTTGTGAAAGCATGTGCAATGTATGGTGGATGAATGAGATTGCATGTGGCTTTATGGTTGAATGTTTAAAGGGTGCATGTGAGTGGATATGTGGCTGAAAATGCATGTGCAACAACAAAGAAGAAAGCTGAAAATGCATAAGGTGTACACGGCATTGATTGGATTTGTGGTGGGTGGATGAAAGAATAATGTCAAGGTGTGGGATTGTTAAAGGGGGAAGTGCATGTGAGTGGCTGATTTGAGTGTTGGGAAATCATGTGAATTAAAGGGATGAAGGTGGCTGCAATGATGAAGTGTGATGGTTGAAAATGTGTAAGGGAAATCACTAAGGGGACTCACGACAAAGGAGATGTTAAAGGGGTTGAGTGTGTTGGAAATGCATGTGATGTATGTCAAGGTTGGAGAAAAGGTGTGATAAGTGATAAGTGATAAGTGAATGGTATGTGGTGAGTGATAAGTGAATGATATGCTAAGTGAGTGATAAGTGAATGGAAGTGATAAGTGATTGGTTTGATAATTGATAAATGAATGATATGCTAAGTGATAAATGAATGATATGTTAAGTGATAAATGAGTGATATGTTAAGTGATGATAAGTAATGATAGGTGGTTATGATAGTTTGGTTTTTAATTTCGTCCATTCCTTTTGCTCCAAATATAAGCTATCCAATCCAAGTCCGATTTTGCTCCAAAATGCTCCAAAAGGCATCCTTTTGCATACCTTGCCCTTAGAACCTGAAAACACACAAAAGAAGCATAAAGGACTAAAATAACTAGAGAAACATAACGTAAATGCACGAGAACAAGCCATTTAAGTCGCATGAATATGCTCCTATCACACTACATATCGGCAACAACAATATAAATCAAGTGTTCATCAATCTGTGGTAACCCACGAGTCGGAGTTGCCTAACGCAACCTGTACAACTCATAAATCAATCCAAGATAACACCTGAGTCGAAGTTGCCTAAGGTAACCTGTACGACTCATAAATCAATCCATGATAACATCTGAGTCGAAGTTGCCTAATGCAACTTGTACGACTCATAGGTAACCTGTACGACAATGTCGGAGCTACCTATTATTGCAACCTGTACGATAATGTCAGAGTTACCTATCATTGCAACCTATATAACAGTGTTGGAGTTGCACAAAACACTTATGTAGTCATGCCCTAACTTAATCCTTTCTAACAATACTATAAACTCACCTGAACTTACCTGTACGTGTCGCGTTCACCTTAGCACTTCAAGGTATTCACAACAATTATATGTAGGTAATATGCATATGGTTATGCCATAATGCAATCTAAAACTCAACCATATCATAGTATTTTAGAATATACAAATATATATATGACATGGCATAAAATGCATAAATCAATTTAAAAGTGTTTTATGGAACTATCAATGATATTCATACGATAAAAGGAAAAGACCCATTCACTTGAGGTCCACGTTACGACTCCTTAGCATGAATATCGAGACATCACGAACAATCCTCACCTAGAACAATTATTCAGTCATGTCTCAGAACTCTTATCAATAGAACACATAACTTACATAAAACACATCCCAATGACGTTCTAGAATGATTTGAGACTCATTGACTAAAAGTCAACTGTCGGTCAAAGATCAATGGTAGGGTCCAACTCAATCCGAAAGATCCGCATCTCAAATATCCGATCCATAACTTCCAAAGATCCACATTTTGCTTCTAAAACCTCATACTAAAGTTTCATTACGATCCAACGGTTGGATCTCTGCCAAATGCCAATTCAAGTGGCGGTCAATGTTTTATTTTACTCACTTATAAATCCAATTCGGGAAGATCCGTACGTCATATTCCCAATATGTAAGTTTCTAATATCCTCAAATATTACATACTATAATTTGGTGACGATCTAACAGTCGGATCGTCATTCACATAATGTTCAAGTAGCGATCTTTATCAAAACTATGCTCAAACGATGAGATTTCATCAATCGGAATTCACCTATGGAATTGGGGTGTCAAACTTAGCTTAGAAAGGTCAGGGGGTGACTCGGCTCACGCGCGGCGGTCAGCTGCCTCGATTCGCTGGAAAATTCAACTATCTCCAAAAATTCTCAAATTTTACAAAAATGAAGAACTCAAGGAGTAGAACGAATTTTATACCTGTAACCAAGTCCAATTTGGCATGGAAATGCTCCAATTTCATTCAAACCCATCGGAACCCTAAAATGGGTGAACTTCGATTCTCCTTCCTTGGTGTTCCAACGTCTCTACCACTGGTTGGGTCTTATTCCTGGGTCCAAGGGAAGTTGATTAAGGGTAGTTTTAGGTGGTGGAACTCGCCGGAATGGAGGAATTGCCGTTGAGCACCTCTGGTGCTCCGGTGGAGTCCTATATGAAATGGGACCTAAAACCCTTCAATCTTGGGTGGAAATGGTAAACGAATAGTTATGGAAGAGGTTACAGGTGGTGGATGATGGTGGTTCGACGAGAAGAATGGTGTAAATTGCCGGAATGGAGTCGGGTTGGTGCACGAGTGCACAAGTGACGGGAAGGCTGGGTTTTCCTTTTTTGATTAGCTGCTGCCCCTTTTATTCTCAATTTATGATTGGTCCTTAGTTCCTTTAATCTGATTGGTCCCCTTAAACCTACTTAAATCTAATTGGGCCTCTTTCCCACAAGTGGGAGTTTATTTTCCTTTAAATCTATAATTTAGTGAAACAACTTCAAATGTTCGTAACTATATCGTTGTAATCCGGACTTGCAAATGGGTTTCGTCTATGCGTTCATACCAACGAGTATTACACAAATACGCCAAAAGAATAAGTCATACATTCCTCTAGACGATGGTCAACAGAAGTCAAAATTCTTGCCTCTAGGGCATTTTCGTCAATTCCCTCGATTAAAATAAATAACACAAGAAATTTTAGGGACGGGTTGTCACACGCATACTGCGCATAATTATTTATACCATATCTTAAACAATGCCATGCTCATAATTAGAGGTGTAAATAATAAAATATATTTTATATAAGAAACATCAATAGGATGCCTAATAAGTATATTTATATGAGAAATATCAATAATATGCCTACTAATAGAGGCTCGGGATGAAATTAATATATACTAAAACTCAAACTGATGTGGTACTGTTCTAGAGCAGTAAAATGGCAAAAATGCCCTTACAATGATGCCATGGTGCCTTTTGTTTAGTCTTCTCTACAGTAAAAATGCATTTTTGCCCTTCCACTCCACCTGTCGACCATCGCAGCGTCTTCTGGCATCTTCCCTTTCTTTTCACTATTTTTCCTTCTACTGCTTTTCATTTCTTTTCCTCTAATTTGAGTTCGATTGTTTTGGCTTCAGTGGTTTTGCTTTTCACTTCTTTTCCTCTCCTCTTTTCTCTGTTGTTCTGTCTCCCAGAAACTCTTTGTTCTCCATTTGCCGTTATCGTCCAACTCCGATTTAGCCACCCTTCGTCAACTCCATCTACTTTAATTTTCCTGCATAGCTTTCTCTTTGAAGCTCAAAATTCTTGGCCAAAGAGAACAGCGAACTTCCCGATGGTCACCAGCTCCAGTTCAAGGTCGAGAAGCACTCAGTCAATGACGTCGCTGACGCCAAGATTTCGTAAGGTCTCAATATCGAACTGATTTGATTTTTGCGTACCTGATTTAAATTTTTTTGGTGATTTGCTTTTGGCTGTCTGATCTGGTTTGATTTTTTCTTTCAGGAAACGTTGGTCTTCGAATATTGGGGTTTTTGTCTGCAAGCTCGCAAGGCTGCAAGCCCTTTGTGATCAAGTATGTATTTTTTTCTTTGATTAAATGTTTTTGTTTTCAGTTTTGTAAGCGTTCATCTTTTACTAATTGTCTAAGAGCTTCCATGGGATCTCCCCTATGTTGTTACTTCGCGGTTACCTCCGTTGGGGTTGAAAAAACCACAAACGCAATGTAAGTTTGAAAACTAATCAAAAGGTTTTAGAAATTTAAAATTTTTTTTTATCGTAAAGGTTTTTAAAAATTTCGGATCATGTTTGCATTTTTATCCAATCTCATGCTCTAGCAATGCTTATAAAGATGACTATTGGATTATCAAAGGACTCTGGAATGGTAGAAAACGCAAAAGGTCTGCAAGAATTAGTTTTATTTGTTTTGTTATAGGAATTCAAATAATGATAAAAATTCTAACATTTTGTTCCAGAAGTTGCAATTTAATCCTACATCGACAAATTTCTCTGATGGCCACTGACTAGAGGTTGACATTCAGATTCGATGGCTAGATTGGCAACAAATTTATTGGGAAATGCATCTTCAAAGGTATGCCTCTGGAGCAAATTTAAGGGTAGGAATTTTTAATTTTTCGTGAAATCAATGTTTTGTCGTGGAAGGAGTTTATAATAGATTGGTTGGACAAGTACATAGTGTTTGTTTGGTTGAATGTAGAAAGGAATTGGAAGAATTATGAAAGTACTTGCATTTTGTTGCAGGAGTTGGAACTTCAACGTTGCATTGGAGGAAATTGTCATAAGTTCGGTAGCCAGAGCTTGACGTTGGCATGACAACAAATTTAATCGCAAATGCATATTCAAAAGTATGCTTTTTTGTTGTTTCTTGGTGAAAGATTGATTAGCGATGATTGCTATTGTTTATTCATGGTTGATTGAGCATTTTTGTTATATGAAACCGTAAAGAGCACTTGCCTCGATGCTAAGTATTTTTTATATTTCTTGATGCATTTCTATTGATCAGGTATAGATGGACCGGTCAATACGAAGCGCATCTGTGGGACAATAGTTGCAACAAAGAAGGGTAGAGCAGGAAGGGAAGCAAGGTTTGTCAAGAAAACACAATGATGTTTTTAATTACAAGAAATGTGCATTTTTTTCCCGTCAAATTCTGCTTTTGTTCTGACTATTTTCCATACTATATGCTGATTCTATTTTTTAATTTTTGGTTTTTCTTTGATTAGCCGGGGAATTACAATCAAATGATGAATCTTCAGTTTACTTGGGTAAGCATTTTTTGACATATAATTTGGCTTACCATGTTAACTGTCAAACCATGTTGTTTTAGTTCATGCTACTAATCATGCATTCAATAGATTTATATATACAACAACGTTTAAATGCTAATCGATTACTAACATAATGCGGTCTTTACAGGAAAAACAGTGGATTCTTAAGAGGGGCTTCAATGTACAGAAGAATTACAAGGTCTTAATAGCTATTCATAATTTTATATAATAATTTAGATAAAATATCGATGAAAAATAATATAAATACCAAATAAAAATCTTTAAAATCTCTTTGTTTTGTTTCTTCTCTGTGTAGTAGACGTCATCAATATGGAAGATGGCTAGCTAGGATTGGTGTTGCTATAAATAAGGATCTCTTGGGACATTCAATGAGTGATTTTTCAAACTTTATTTGCTTTTTGTATCTAAAAAATTTCCTAATATTTTTAATATAATCAGTGAAATCACGATTTCATGTACTAGCTAGCTACTAGGATGCTTGGTTTTTATATGATTCTGATTATTTGAGGTATCTGAATAAAGTTTTGTTCAAAGTAGGAAAATCAATTTAAACTCAACCTTCTTTACAAGCTTGAGGAGAGATTTAGTCTTATAATGATTAATAATAAGATACAATTAGGGTAATACATGTACTGCACATATTGCTAACTATGCTAGACCAAAAGTATCATCATTACTGCTTAAACATATCAATCAGTTTACATTCTGTGAATGCATATGACGACTGAGGGGTTTAACCCTCAATTGCAATCTCATCCTGACTGATATGTGTAATTTTGTGTTTACACCATACTAATCAATATTTCATATGTTTGATCAAACTCTTATTTAATGTACATTTTGCATGCCCAAACGGGCTAAAACTTGATGACATCCTATAAAATTGTCAGAAAAAGGTCATTTCCAACTCATGCAAAACCAGACTTTTTTCCCGCAGAAAAACACTAGGTAAACACAATCTATCCTTATTTTGTTCATAATATAATTCTATTATGATACAATTTTGTTTCATGTATTTCAATCCTTTTCTTTTCCCTTTCCTAGGGTACCTCCTTTAAACTACTTTTCCCATTCTTCTTATCGGTCAGAAGATGTCTTTTTGCCAGTTCTGAACAAAGGTCATTCCTAACTGTAGAGTTTTTTTTTACCAATGTCCAAATCTTAAACTATTGCATGCTCATGTTTGCCAATCTTTGTCACCAATTTCAAACAGTGATGTAGAAGATATCTCAGAAGAAAATGCGCAGAACTTTGACCAAGTTCCTATCAAGCTATTGAAAAAAAGTCATCTCCAACTGCTGCAAAAATAGATTTCGGTTCTTCCAAAAAAGATTAGGTAACTACTCTTTATACTTGCTTTTTGTACAAGTTTTAATTTATCTGTACACAAATTCAACAAATCTATTCTCATTTTTCAATTTTTTAAGAAGCTGTCTATCAAACTGACTACAGTCGAAATTTAAGATTCTTAGCACATGCTTTGTTTTGAAGCTGTCTATCAAACTAACTACTCTTTATAGTTGCCAAATGTTGTTATCTCACTATCTTTACACAGTTTATTTAATCAGTTTTTTAGTATAAATAGTGATGTCCTTGATTAAATAATAATGTCAAACAAAATTAAAAGAAAAATATAACCGCCCAATAAGAATGACTTACCGAATTACATCACAATAACAAAAGGTAAAGAATAAATAAAATGGCAAGTAAATGGCATTATATAATTTATATCAACTGATTGAGCACCTACTTCATATGGGAAGAAGAGGTCACAAAGGCAAAAGAAGGAACAACAACTACTTCATATGGGAATAAGAGGTTAGTTTAATTGTAATTATTTTTTTATTTGGTCAAATTCGAAGTTGGTTGGCTTGCATCTAATTTGGTCGTTTGCTTGCACAGGTTGAAGTCACTGGTTTTATTAATGTTGGTGATCGAAATCAATCCAAGTTAATGTGAAAACGATATCATTATTTTGTTATGGAGAGAACTAATTTAAATTAAGAAATTGAATTACATTTTTATACCTTTTTTGTGATCATTTACTGAGAATTTGTTAATTGTTTTAATATATATGAGGTAGGATTTCTACGTTCATTTCTCATCTTTAAAGATTGCTGAATTTCTACATTCATTTCTCATCTTTAGAGATTGTTGGATTTCATATTGTCAAATAGTTTATGGATTTTCATATTAAGCACGTCAATATGTTGATGCAGTAATTTAATTAGATGTGATAAAGTTGATGTGTTTGTACCTTTAAACACATTTTTTCACACAATTTCTAATCCCGCAGCAACGCGCAGGCAAAACTTTCTAGTGTTATACTAATTTACCTGTACAAATTAATTTACCTATATTTTGTAGATTCACTAATTTAAATGATAAATATATTTGTATGATAAATATTAACAACATGCCACCTAATAGAGGCTCAGTATCCATGATAAACATGTATGAAATCTTATACTAATTTACCTACATAAATTAATTTACCTATATTTTCCAGATTCAAAAATTTGATACCAGGTGCATTATTTTTCAAAATAACCAAAATTATTAGTACTAATTAAGTACACTAATCTTTTCAAAAAAAAAAAAAGAAAAAAAGGTACATTGATATTCGAAAATAAAACAAAACATGCTAGACACGTCATTTTTTTACCCTTTTTGTTTTAAAGAAAAATAAAGCATGGTTTTTATTGAATCAAAGGAAGTGTTACTGATACTTCAAAAATTTCATTCTACACTTCTCACAAGTGTATTTTTCTTTCTTAATATAGAACATTTAGAGTGTAGAATGAGATTTTTGAAGTGCTAATAACAATTTCCTAAATCAATAGGGTACATTAATTTGAAAATTTATTGTTGAATTCAAAACGTTTTGAATTTTTATTCTTACATCAATTAAAATTTCAAAGCCTATACACACGTTACAATAAAATAAAAAAGTCCATTTTAATTTTGATATCAACATAAAATGCTATAATGACTTAATTGAGGGTAATTTGGGGAATCCGAATACTATTAAATATGACGCACAATCTCGATTAGGTAATTTGTTTAGATGGAGCTTAGTCATCGGGTTTTTGTTAGAAAAATATATTATTGTGGGTTTTATGTAAAAAAAATTGAGTTTGAAGGGGTAAAGTCACATTTTCAGTAAAATAAAATATTATTAAAAAAATGATAGAAAACACCTTGAAATACAAATCGTCAAAGCCTAGCAAAGTTCTCCAATTGTGTTCCTTTCCTCTCCTTCTGTCCTTTAAAACCTAATGGCTAAAAAACCTTATTTATACTACTGCATAATTAAAATCCTTACTAGAAAAGGTCTTCTAAAAACTAGGAAACATAATAGAATAAGATAATTAGGAAATACATTCCTATTCTAACTTTGGGACATCTGTCCAGCCACAAATCAGCCACGTTTTTGGACTTCCAGGGCTCCCAAAAAGTCCAAAATGATTTAAATTAAAGCTTGAGATGTCCCGAACATAATTGCAGAAGGTCTCGAACCCAAAAGACACCATCTTGAATGCCAAAAAGCCCAAATAAGTTCAAAACATCACTTTGACAGCATTACACGCTGCTTCTTTATTTCATCGTCATAAATAAACCACTTGGTATAAAATTATAAAACTTTGACACGAACAGTTGAGAGACACATGAACGTTCTCCAATTTGAATCACTCCAAAATTCATCTGTTTGATCACGTTTTCTTCCAGAGGAAGTCAAATATCCTACATTAAAAATATAAATCAAAGTATCAAAATTCTCACAAAATAACCACTAAATTATAACTAAGAATAAGATAAAATATATAATATAATATCGACTCATCATGAAGTTTTTTAAATTTCAAAAACATTATTAGGCTACGATGTATTATTATATGCACTTTATGAATAAAGCATGAGATGTACAACTAAGGATTTAACAGGCACAACTATTGAATTACTTCTAAATTCTTGTCACTGGCCTAGTTTTTGATTCTCCAATGTTTAGTGAGTACATGTGTGAGAGTGAAAGTAATCAAAATTCAATTTCTTATTTTAATTTCGATAAGAACGAATTCACATGTCTAAAATTCTAGGGCTCAAGATTAGAATGACAAACGGGCCCTCATAGTACAAGGCTTTTGCATATCACTTTCCACCTTTTTTTTTTTTTTGTTTTTTTTTCAATTTTATATTTTAATTTCGATGAGAACAAATTCACATGCATAAGATTCTAGGGCACAAGTTGAGAACCACAAAGAGTCCCTCATAGTACAAGGCTTTTAAATATTTTCATTTTCCACCACAATTTTTTGGTGGAAAGAGAGAATATTTAAAAATCTCATTATACGACTTGTTAATTCGACTTGAAATGACGCAAAAATAACATATTTCAAATCAACACATTAACTAATTTGGTTGTTTTCGGATCACAAGTTAAAACGGGTTCTTAACAGGCTTATATGCAGGTAACCCGTTTCACCCCGAAACCATAATCGACACCATAATCCCTAAACCCAAGATTTATATGTAACTGTTGATTTTCGTTTACACTTTATTCTTCTCACCGGATTTCATTTTTTCAATTTCTTTTTATTTTTTTATTTTTTATTTTTTAAACATGATCTTTTATCTTTCTGTATGGCTAAAAGATCATGTTTTTTTTTTAAAAAAAAAAATTGAAAAAATGAAATCGGTGAGAAGAATGTAGCGTAAATGTGAACGACAATCAACGGTTAAATTTAAACCTATGGTTTTATGGGATTATGGTGGCGAATTTCGGAGTTGACCTCTTCACAACTATTGTAGAGCTTGTCATTACGAGCATTTGTATAGCTTCAAAAATATTTTCACACTTCTATAGTAATTAAAAACTAATAAAAAAAACCATACTAGAACAATAGCCATAGGCTTTAATATCACTTACGTTTCTAGTATTACATCTTTCATTTTATTATTTATTGATTTAAAATATATTTCCTTTAACGGGTAATGAGTTGAGTCATATTAAATTTGTTCATGTCAGATTATTTGTGCATTCTAACGGGTGTTACACAATACGACCAGTTAAGATATCAAGTATTACACGAATACGAAAAACACGACACAAATGACTAGTCAATATCAATGAACTATTGCAAAAAACTCATATTTTCACTTTCCACCACAACTTACACAAACCATTTTCACTTAAAAAATTATAGTTTTGTTATCAATGAACTATTGCAAAGAAGTCCCCAAAACAAACTCCTGAAACGAAAATCACGCATAAGAACACAAGATACTCTGTTTATATTACTTTTTTTTATTTTTTTATAATGGGTTAGTCAATTGTGTCTACGTCCACTCTAGTGTTCTCCCGAAGTAACGTCACTAAAAATCAAGAACACCTTTAATTTACAAGAAAACCCTTTAGAGTATAAACTTAATATCTCGCACACTCCGCTCACAACACCCAAACTTTCACTTGTAATTCTCGTTAAGTTTTACAACCCTGTAGAGTCCTATTTATATGTATAGGCTTTAGTTTACAATTTTGAGTACATCGATATTTTTACATTAAGGGAAGGGGGAGTTCGACTAAGTCACACATGGACAGTTGAATTTGATATCGAATTCGCCATTTACGAGATTCGAACCTAAAACCTCTCACTACCAAGTGAAGAGGAATATCACTATTGAGTGGCGGCTTTAGTTTACAATTAGAATTGAAAAGAAACATAAAGCCCTTAGACCTACTCCAACCTGTGGAATAAAACTTAAATTTTAGGTTTTAAACTAATCCCAACTTGTTCTAACCCTTGAGGCAAATATGAGTGTTAAAACTCATTTCTAGGGAAAATTTAGCCCAAGCTTCCCCCGGGTTAGTGTGGGTTGGCCCACCATATATTTGTATTTTTTTTAGTTTTATATTTATAAATTCATTGAATCTAACGGCTAAGATCTAATATGATCAAGTCCAACGGTAAAAAATGGTCCAAATTTAAATCTAACGGCTAAAATAATTTAAAATTTTTATTTTATGTGTTTCATATTCTTTCATAATGTTCCACGAGTTTTATGGGATCGGTTTAGTGATTTTTCAATATTTATCAGAATTTAAATATTTTTAAGTTAAAATGTTCATAAAATTAAATTAGAATAGTTAACATAATTTTTTTTTAAAGTTAATTTAAGAAAAAAAATAATCCTAAATTCGTTCTTTAATAATCTCAGACTAAAAATTTAACCCAGAAGGGTTGGAGGAGAAAAATTGTTTTTGAGTTAAAACCTAAATTTTTTGGTTTAAAAATTTTAAGTTTTAAGTCAAGGGTTAGAGATGGTCTTAGAAGAATACCTAAAACTTTAAATTCTTTATTGCAAAAGACCAACCAGTCGATTAGTTAGGTCACCCAATCTCACTATGAATCCTGCAGAACTCTATGCTTTTAATACGACAACGAATCTTCTACGGCTTGAGAAAATAAAAGGAGCTTACCGATGTGGAACTGGTTGCGAGGTGAAGTTAGAGTAAATATATAGTGGCAGAAGACGCAACCGTGGGGTTATTTCCCTTCCATAAATTGAAGAAGGCTATGCCCTACATGCCCTATTCATGTTTTTCTTATCTCAATCATGTTCTCATTCAGGTCCTCCTCATCTTGTTGGGCACATGATATATGTACATCACTAACATGCAAAAGTTGATTTTTCTTGCATTGTTCAATCAATTTTCCTACTAATCCACCAAACACATGATGATAAATAATAATAATAAAAAAAAGGTTCACAAGAAAATTTGAGCACAGGACAACTCAAAGATACAATAATTGCACAAGGTTCTCAATGGGTAGGCCATTCACTCATTCAACATTTTTGTGTTCTTTTATATGACATTATACCCAATTTTGGTAGGCAAATGGAAAGTAAAATTTCTTGCCTGGTGATATATATGAGCAGGGGTTGGGATCTCCACTCTCCAGGGTCTTCTAACTACACAGCACAATCGTTTCAATATATATGCATCTTGAACTATTCTGCAGCTTTTTGAGCCTGCAGAGCTCAATAATTTCATTCAAAAAAAGTTTAATGATGATTGGGGTCATGGCCTTAAAATGGAAGCTT